TTATCCTCAAATTAATGTAAAATTGCAAAAGACCCCAGATTGCCATAGCAATGTCAGAAATTTTTATACCAGATCTCAGATTATATTATAGAGCTATCACCATAAAACAGCATGGTACTGGCACAAAAATAGACATGTAGATCAATGAAACAACCAGAGAGTTCTGAAAAGAATAAACAAAGATGGCTAAGAAGCATCTTAAAAGGTGTTCAACATCATTAGTAATTAGGGAAATGCAAATTAAAACCACTTTAAGATTTCTTCTTACCTCAGTCAGACTGGCTAAGATCAAGAGAACAAATGATATCAAATGGAGAGGATGTAGGGAAAGGGGAACACTCATCCACTGCTGGTGGGGCTGCAAACTTGTTCAACCCCTATGGAAAGAAGTGTGGAGACCTCTTTATAACCTACAAATCAACCTACCATTTGACCCAGTTATACCACTCCTTGGCACATACCCAAAGAACTCATCCTATTGCAGAGAGACTTGTACAACCATGTTTGTTGCTGCTCTTTTCACAATAGCTAAGAGATGGAAGCAACCTAAGTATCCCTCAATTGATGAGTGGATAATGAAAATGCAGTTCATTTATACAATGGAGTTTTAGTCAGTAATAAAGAAAGACGAAATTATTAAATTTGCAAGCAAATGGATGGAACTAGAAACTGTTATACTAAGTGAAGTAACACAGACTTAGAAAAACAATGTATGTTCTCCCTCATATGTGGATCCTAGCACCAAATCCTTATAAGCGAGTATGTACCCAGACATAACTACAGGAACCAGGATAATGACCAAGGAGGTAAAGGAAAAGAAAGAGTATGAAAGAGAAGAAGAGTAGGAAACAGGCCTTAATAAGGGAGATATGGATAAAAATGGGGTTATTTTAAGAGGAAGGGCGAGGGGGGGTTTTACAAGGAACCTTGGGGATAAAGGGAAAGAAGGAGCTCAAGAGAGGTAGGACCATAGAAGGGTATTATTAAGGGAGAAATGGGAAAAATGGGGGAACTTTAAATGGGGAAACCATGGTGGAAGGGTTAGACAATACAAGAGATAAATAATACCTAGTTTTTAAAAAACAGAGGAAACCATATTAGTCCAATAACGTACTGACAAACTGTACATATAACTAGCTCAAGAAACATAATATATGTCTAGTCAAGGTTTATCTGAGAACCTTTGGTCTTTGCCCAAGCTTTATCTACATAGCACATGGTAATGAAAAGTACCAGACTGGTGGAGCCTACCTTATTGGATGTTTAACAGCCATACTTTGAGGCCTATACTAATGTGGTCAGAGGGACATAAAGGACAGTTTTTGCTCCTTGTCCACCAAAATTCACTAAATTCCAAGGGACTACAGAGCATCTCTCAAAATGTCCTGTAACTGTGGGGAGTCACCTGTCCTCTTGATCAAGGAGGCCATGAAGACCCCACCAGATGGACTTGAACCAGTGTCCAGTGTACAAAGAGGAGGGGCAACACAGAGGAATCATTTCCTCCATGCTTCCAAGCGAAGCCAACCATGGTCGAGCAGGACCTTTGACATCTTCACGTAGGCGGAACTGGTAAAAGAAAGGAGCCAGGGGCTCCTCCCAAGCCCATGTGACCCCTGAGGAACAGGTCCTCAAAAGACCTTAAGAGTGAAAATAAACTGGTTTATCTGGGGCAACTGCATGGTCTTAAACACCCAAAAGGGAAGTACAATCCAAGATTAACGAGATTAATACAATTATTAGTCCATGTGTACAAGTAAAGGCTATATAACAAGAAACAATGCCAGACAGGAGATACCTTCCTTTGAGTTCTTGGCCAGGGTGGCCCAAGAGATTCCCAGACAGCAATTCAGCATAGAACTTGGAAAATGAACAGCAGACCCCAATCTTATGTAAAATGAGTTATATTTGAGGAAGAAGCATAAAAATTTGCTTCATGTTAATCAGTACATGTGAAAAACATTACCATTGAAATCTACCTAATGACTTTATATCCATGCTCAGGTGCCAAGGATCTCAGAAAGTAACCGACTGTGACTACTAATAATCAGATATATAGAGATTAGAGACACATGTGCAAACATTTAAGTGTTAGTCGCATTAAAAGTGAATTTTTCTGTGTGAAACAGTCTATTTTAAAATAAAATGGAGATCTTTTTTAAAGGTTAAAACCTCATTCAATTTTATGTCTTATGGAGTTTTTACTGAGTACAATATTGTACAACTGTATTAATTCAACTGTGAACCTAAAAATTTACAGCCAATTTCGAAAGAGATGCATCTTAGCTCTGGAAATTGTTATAGAACATGTCAATGTTGTAATGAAACGCTTCTTCTAATTATGTAGTTAAAAAATAATTTTAAGTAAGAGAAAGAAAAGCATTCAAATACAAAAAAAAGGAGAAAAAAAGAAGAGGCAGTTGCTTTGCAAAGATCGTTTACTCATTGTGGGGCAGGAGGTGAGGGGAAATGAATGGTGCTGCTCGGCAGGAATAAACAGCAAATATAATGCTCAGCACATTGAAAGTGGCTTCCAGAGTCAACTGAGAGAGACGATTCTTTAACTTGATGCCTCAAATGAGTGCTTTCCTTTTGGGAAAACAAGCAAGGGAATGAGACCAGGCTGAGTCACACCCTTGGTCCTCAGTTCAACAGAGACTGTATTTGCTACATGACTTCTCCATTTAAGTGTGGTAAAACAAAGTATTTTAAATTCACTATTCGAAATCGTGTTTCTAAAAAGTTAAATACACTATTCTCAGAGCCACTTAACTGTACTTGGCACGATATATTTATATTTAACAATACCCTGTTTAAAGTACAGTTTAACAGCAATCATACATAAATACCATTTTTACATATAAACATTCTGAAATCAACCTATCTATGAATCAGGCCATTTAGAATAATACAGTCCAAAAACAATATTCCAAGATGCTATCAAAGTCACGTGGCCTTCAAGCAGCACTAATAGAAAAGGTTAAATGGCCAGAAAGCAGTATATATGTGCATATGAGAATAGTCAGGTAATCCTAGGGATTTTGTCTGTATCATACTACTTATTTCACAGCAGTTGGTCTATTATTTCCTATCAAAACTGCTTGCTCTTAATCACAACTGCTCAGTTTTTCAAACGAACTGAAGATTGCTAACTATGCTGTAACGAGTCACGACCAAACCAATTACAGTTAGTAAAGAAATGAGCTGTGACACTTTGCAATCTCTTCTGCCTCAGATTCTCTCAATAATGTATCGCTTATTTGCATAACCTTGGCATTATACTCTGAGCTATTTAATAGACCATCTCTCTTTCAAACAGGTATTTTTCAGTATACTGTGTAAATAATATATTAGGAATATACGGAATAAGGAATATTCTTTTAAAACATGACACAGAGTAAGCTAATAGTCAGTGCTTCCTTACAATTTAGAAGTAGATTCCTGACACACACCTAGAAATGAATGAATTCTCCCATGACACCAACCTGATGTTTCTGCTGCTGCTGTTTACTCGTGTTCCTCATGTACGTGTTGTATTTGATTATGTCCTGGCTCATTTCATCCACTCGGTCCATCAGTAACTGTAGATTCTTCCCCAGGTGATTGCTGAAAAGTACATACACTGGCACGTCATTCTTTTAGCTATGGCTTTCCACTGGCAATGTTAACCTGACTTACCTTTTGTAAAAAAAACAGGAGTGCACATATGTAGAAAAGCAAGGGAAGTCAAAAGAACCTGGGCTAGACTGTTCTAAGTCTTCTGTATCAACCCAAGTGTAAACCCAGGAGTATCTAAAATGCTTTCTTACTGTGAAAGCAGGTATATCAGGCTAGATTTGTTACATATCTACTGAGACTTCTATTATGAACATTTTTTAAAAATA